GTAACATGTAACACGTAAGACTTAAATATATATAAGACTCTTATAAGTTGAGTTAATACTTTTCTAGAATTCTTTTTTGTGCATGAAAGTGAACCGATATCCATCAATGTCAGGTTCGACATCAAAATGAAATCATATTTTGTCAATAAGTCGAAATATTAAACTAATTTTACTTTATAGAGATTTTATTTAGAAATATACTCTTATCCATTGTTGCTGATTTTTATTACATAAGATTTAATTCTACAAAAATTTTTTTTTCCTAACTGAATTGAATTTGTGATTTGAGCGGTCTGCTGACTTCTACTATTTCTGTACATCCCTTAGTAGATAAGAAGACAGCGGGCGAATTCCAGGAATTCTACAAATAAAGCTTCTAAATGGTCATTGCGGTCGAAAATTCAACGTTCTGTGAGCATTGAAGTATTATAAACTCACTTTTTAACGAAACCTTTTCCCATTTAGTCGATTGAAAGCAAGAATGCGAACTTTGATTTTTTAAAAAACAAGTACTTTGAGGTGATATTTGGAGCTTATTTTGATCATTTAGAAAAAGTCTATTCTTGTTTACTACATTCAGACCCGATTTGGCGCAAGTAGCTGCAAAAATAGATTCATTGAAAAAATGGACTATTTCGACTTACAAAACAACAAAGCAGTCCATATGTGAGAATTTAGGAAAGGTTAGGAAATTTTTAGAGTTTTTTTTTGCTTAAAATTTTATCTGTTTTTGCTAGATCTTCCGTTTTATATTTTATCACTTTTTCTTTTCGTTGTTCCTCTCTATTATTTTTAATTATGACGCAATGTTGGTCATTGTTCTGTGTCGTTTTCTGAGCATTAAATTTATAGTGCATTTATATATTTTTTAAATGGTATTTTACTTATCAATAAATGATTTCTAGGTTGAACGCACAGTTGACAAGGAGTTGGAAGAACAAATCGAAGAACTGAAAATATTGCACAAGCATTACAGTCAGGTTTGTTTTCTTAATTTGTTACTGGTGGAATATTTATGGATGGATTTAAAACGAATTTTAATTTGTTGCAGGTGTTAGCAATGTCAAAATTATTCACTTCAAATTTTCATCAGATGAACGAAATACAGAAGGGTTTAGCGGAATCTCTTTATCAACTATCGCTGAAAGAAATGAGCTTGAACGTAACTATTTTTTACTTTAAAAAATTCTTCGAAATCATTAGTTACTATTTTCTAAAAAGCTTTTCCTGAAATCATTCATTTACAAGTGCTCGGATTACTTCTTTCTAATGCCGTTGAAATAATAATAATAGTTGACAACCTTTTTTAAAGCTTTTTTAGAACTTTTCTAGGCAGAGTGTTCCTTGAACAGTGATTCATTGCGTTCAGTGGCACATAACGGTGAACTTCTAGAGCGAGCCCTGTCGTTTTTTCTTTCATCAATTAAGACATTATCCGAGAAAACATTTGAAGATACAATGGAAACAATTCATAATTATGACCAGGTTGTTTTTTTCCTATTATGAGTTTGACCCGTTCTATCTCAATTTCCAATCAAAGCAGCAGTAAAATCTCGATGTATTTCAAAACTTTATTAGACAACAAAACCTTTTTTACCACTTTATTTAGTAGTAAATCGTTTCTACGATTGTAACTTAACATGTAGTTCATTATAGCGGTTCATGAATTTACCACTTCTTAAACAATGTTTGAGGAATAGCGATAAAGAGAATTTGAATGTTACAAATTGTGAAAAAGAAATGAGATTTTTCGATGAGATTAAATAAGTATTCCTATAATAGGCTCGGTTGGAATATGACGTTCATCGTAATGAAGCAGTATCACTACAACAGTCAGGTGCAACGCCTGAGGCAATTGCAGGCGCTGATTTCAGATGTAATCAGCACCGAGCAAAATACGAACAATTAAAAGCTGACGTCAAGGTCGTTTTCTTTCTTTTTGAGTTCGTTCCTAACTCATTTTCAGAGTAAAAATAAGGTCCATCGAAATGCATTTGGTGTTGATAAGTATTCGTTAGATGTCGATTTAAAAAAACTAGTTTAAAATTTCTAAGTGAAAACAAATTGCTGTTACTTTTCACGGAATCACATTCTACTATTCAATAATGAGATTACAGCTTTGATTTTTAGGTGAAACTAAGACTACTAGAAGAGAACCGGTGGAAAGTAATGCATAAACAGTTGTTGCTTTTTCACAATGTCTTGACACAGTATTTCTCAGGTATCAATTTATCTGCAGCATTTACATGCCTAGTTAGTAATGTCAGAGGCATGTTGGGGATGTTAATCTTTTTAATTACATGGAACTATTATAAATTTAAATGATATTACAAAGAAGCTTTTGAAAGTTTCTGTGGTATATACAGAGATTTTCTCGGAGATTAAATTTGAGTTAACAGTTGTTCACAGTCGTCTGCTAAACTTAGTTTTTGCAGAAACTCCCAATATTTTAAGCCATCATTTAGGCAATGCGAAGGCTCTGCTATCATCAATGGAAAATTTAAATTTGGTCGAGACGGCAAATGACGGTGTTGCTCCGTCATTTTTGGAACAGTAAAATAAATGTCTGCAATAAACAAACAGTTTTTTTCTAATAATGCCTCAGTTTAAATCCAGCTCGTAAAACCTGTTTGGAGTGTGGGTATGACCGCAAATATTTTTTTTTTCGAATTTATGTAGTCCTATCAAATTTGGTACGATTAATTATAAAAAACTGTTGGATGTTTGAAAATAGTTTGAATTGCCTGCCGCTGGGAGTGAGCGAGTAAAATATTTTGAACCATTTTGAAACTGAGAAATAGTCTGGCTGAAACAACATAACAGGATGAAAATAAGCAAGTATCATCATTAGAGTATTTTCAAAAATTTTTTTTGCGGTCGCTTATCTATAGCATTGAGAGTACATTTTATTTTTGACTGTATTTGTTATATTTTCTAAATATATATTTACATATAGCAAACAATTGTTTAACTAAAAGCAATTTATCTATGCTGTTTTCATCAGATTTCTAATCTGAAACCTGTAATAATTACCAAGCTTCTGTTTTGGATACTTGAATGTTGGCTGCAATTTACTTTCCATTACTGAATGGAATGAATGGAGTGACAACAAAAAAAAAAAAGTTGCACTCCACTGAATAGAGTGACAACAATTTTCAGGGTTAGAATTTGGTTATTCTTGCTTGAAGTCTAGTTCAAAAAACAAGGTTAACGTGAAAATTGCTGCAAGTGCGGATTGCCTTTTCTGATTACTAATTCTATGTTAAATTTCCATCTTTATTTCGAGAAATGACCATGGCATGAAAGATTTTGACAGTAGTAATTAAAATTCCTATGTATTAATTTTAATTAGACATTATTTACTCCGTTTGTTTTGCACATATTCATTCCTATTATTTTGATTAACTCTATCCGTTTCTTCATTTGTCAGCTGTTGTTTGGAAATTTTTTATCGGGAAAGAACTTAGAAAAGCAGTACTCTTCAAGTTAGTTTACGAACGATGATAAACGTTTCAATTCATTGTAACAAGAAAGTATAACTAAGCTGAAAAGAATGTTTTTCGGAAGCGGATACTTTATTGTTTCAATCTTGATCTCTTGTTAAACCGTTTTTCACAAATTTTTGAAAAAAAAAAGGCTTGTGAACGATTATTGATGAAAGCCATTGTAAAACGCTTATCACTTCATAAATTCTTTTTTCTGCTTATCTTAAACGACAATTTCAATTGTTATTGTTTACCCGCATTTACTATAAGCACAGTTTCACATAAAATCAAATTAAAATCATGGGGAATCGCTCATTGTTTGCATTTCTATTTTACGTCTCTTATTGTTATCAAATAATTAACAACGAGAAACCGTTCCACGAGCAAATTAATATCGATTTGAAAGTAAGGATTAGTGTAATAATAATCGGAGACAAAGTAACGAATATTGAATTCATAAAAAAGTAGAATTTGAAATTTGGGATCTTCTCATGGAGATAAATCTACGATTTTTTTCATCAATAATTGAGTCAACAAATGAGATAATATGTTGACCTTCATGCGGAAAGAGCAATGATCAAGTGCTATATATCAATAAAAGTGTAGTGAGAAGGAGTCAAATGTTTTGAAAATATATGTGTATGCATCAACGTGCAAACAACGAGGAAGAGGAGGTTCTAGAAAGGTGGTGACAGTGTGGCGGTGTAAATGGTTGTGTGACCTTTGATCCTTTTTGATGATGTAATTAAATTCATTTCCCAACCGCCTTCCATTCGCAACATCGTGCTGACGTCTTTGCGAAATGTGCAAACATTTTAAGCGCTCTTCAGATCACATTGGATTTTTATGTTGATAGTTTGATTTCCATTTCTATTGAAATTTTTTGAGCAATCTTTATGTGGTATATATGTTTCTCCGTTATCCTTCATACATTTAATTCCTTCCACCAGTTTTCAATAATTTCACGATTTATCATATCGATTTGTACAGCTTTATTGATCAAATCATTTTCGACTTTCTCTCTTCTGCAAAAAAATAGCCTTTTATCCTCATGTTGAAAACCATTTACCCACAAAATTCTGCTATTTTAAATAGAACAAGCTTTTCAGAATGGAAATTAATGAATCACATGCAATTAGCCACTTTCTACTTGCAATTTCCTGACGCATAAACATTTTTCTGAATTTCTCTTCCCATTCTCCATCACATTTGATGGATAACTGTATGAATTAGGCATAATTCAAAATTTTATGGATTAGCCAGCTTAAAAATTCTATAGAAATACAATTTAAACTATATCTAATTCATAAAATATTTGCCAAAATTCTATCAGTTCCAAAGAAATCACATTAGGAGGACTTTGTCCCACATTTTATTTCCTCATTATCCAATCCTTCTTCATAACATTCCATCTCTTCTTTCAAATGAACAACATATAAGGTCAATTTTGCTTCAGCCTCTCTTTATCTCATATTGCATGAATCACTGCTAGGTTCGATTTATCAGTTCTGCATTTCTTTTGCTTTCCAAAGAAGTTCCTCTCTGCCATCGTTCAAAAAGAGAAGGGAAACATTCCTTCCTTCCATACACAACTCTCTCTCACCCTCGGTGTCCCCTTCTGTCCCTCCCTCGAGAATAGCATTGAATTATGAAACATTCCTTCCTTTTAAGTTTCCTCAATTCTTCTTGATATCTTCAAATATTCGCTCATATTTGATCATAATCTTCGATTGATTATTGCACATTTTTTCTAATTTTTGAAAATTTAGTCTTATATTTCTTTTTCTTTCGTTCCATCAAATGAAGCCAATAAAGTGATAAATTAAACTTTTATTTTAAAAGGTGGCAAGGAAATAGACAGTATTGAACAATTAAAAAATTATTGTAATATTCAAACAAATATAGTTTTGAATTATCTTAAAATTTATATCATTGATTGGAAGTTTTCAGATTTCTAATCTTTTTGGATAATCTTTGAAATTCTTATGAGAAAATGGTTGTATCTATACTGAAATGGGTCGGAAAACGGTTCTGTAAGAATCAGAGAAAAATTATTCCTCTCAGAGCAAAGATAAACTATTTATTTCTCTAAGGATTTCAATTTATTTTTTCGGGTAAGTTTTTCCAAAGTATTCTGCATTATACACCTGATGATATATTTGTTTCAAAATTGAATTATTCCAACAAAATTAAGCTGTTTCATATAAAACTGTCACATCCAGGAAGCGATACAGGTAAGATGAATAAAAGATAAGGCGAAAGAAGGTGCAAAATAAAATATTTTGATTGAGGTCGAGTGGATTTATTTCCGTTCTACTGATTAAAATATCCAAATAATGTTCATTGCATTTCCATTATCACCGCAATGTAATTTTGAATTGAATGGAACTGAACGATGACATTTTGGTTTATGTGTTTCAAATATAAAACTTATCAACACATTATTTCACATTCGCTCCCTCTCTCTCCTTCTCTCTCTCTCTTTCTCTCTAAGTACAATTTAACTGTTTATGAAGAGCACAAAAAAGATTCCACTTCCTTTTATGTTTGCATATTACCTATTCATTTCAAATATTACTTCTCCTTGCATTTTCAGATATGCAACAAAAAAAAAGGAAAAAAAATGTGTGTCGCAACACGGTAAGAGATTAAACTTTTTTTTTTCTTTTATCTTTAGTATATAAAATATTGTATTGGACATCGGAAATGTGAATGAAACCAATAATATGTGATAGAAATGTGTGTGTCTGTGTGTGTATGTGTGTGTATGTGTGT